CCCCGGAGGTGCCGCGGTCCGGTGGCCCCGGGGGCGGCCCCGCCGGTGCCCCGCTCGTCCCTCCCAGCCCGGCCCGCGGCCAGGGTGTAAAGTTACCCTCGACCTTCCCGGGGGGCACGGCCAGCCCCCAAAATGGAGCAGAAATCACCCAAAATCCCAGGTGCGAGGTGGGGGGGCAAATTTTGGGGGGGGGGACAGTGACAGTGACAGGGGTGGATGGCAAGGACCACCCCCCAAAAAAAATAAATTAAAAATTGGGTGCTCTGGGTGGGGTTTTGTACCCCTCGAGGGAGAAGGGGATTGGGGGGTGGGATTTGGGGGGGGCACAGAGGGAAAATGTCACCCCTGGGGTGCACGGAGTGGGGATTTCCCCTTTTAGGGCATTTTTTAAACCAAAATTGGGGCGCGGGAGGGATTTGGGGGCGCAAAAAGGAATTTGGGGAGGTCTGGGGGGGGAAAATCCCCCCCAAACCCACCCCATAGAGGGATTTCCTCTTTTAGGGGAGGTTTTGGTACCCAAAATTGGGGTGCAGGAGGGATTTGGGGGTACAAAATTGATTTTGGGGAGGTCTGGGGGGGAATTGGGATTTTGGAATTTTTGGGGGGGGACACAGAGGGAAAATTCCACCCTTAGGGGTGCATGGAGTGGGGATTTCCCCTTTTTGGGAATTTTTTAAACCAAAATTGGGGTGCAGGAGGGATTTGGGGGTGCGAAAAGGAATTTGGGGAGGTCTGGGGGGGTTTTGGAATTTGGGGTGGGGGGACACCGAGGTGTTGGGAGAGGGAAAATCCCCCCCAAACCCACCCCATAGAGGGATTTCCTCTTTTAGGGGAGGTTTTGGTACCCAAAATTGGGGTGCGGGAGGGATTTGGGGGCTCAAAAAGGAATTTGGGGAGGTCTTGGGGGGGGTTTGGAATTTGGGGTGGGGGACACAGAGGGAAAATTCCACCCTTAGGGGTGCACGGAGTGGGAATTTCCCCTTTTTGGGAATTTTTAAACCAAAATTGGGGTGCGGGAGGGATTTGGAGGCTCAAAAAGGAATTTGGGGAGGTCTGGGGGGGGTGAAAATCGCCCCCAAACCCACCCTATAGAGGGGATTTCCCCTTTTAGGGCAGTTTTTTAACCAAAATTGGGGTGCAGGAGGGATTTGGGGGCGCAAAAAGGAATTTGGGGAGGGTTGAAATTTGGGGTGGGGGGACACAGAGGTGCTGGGAGAGGGAAAATCCCCCCCAAACCCACCCCATAGAGGGAATTTCCCCTTCTAGGGGAGGTTTTTTTAACAAAAATTGGGGCGCAGGCGGAATTTGGGGGTACAAAATTGATTTTTTTTTGGGGGGGTGGTGGTGTTGTCCCCCCCCTCTAAATCCCCCCCGCAGCCTGCGTGCCTCAGTTTACCAACTGCCCCACCATGGTGATCCTGGTGGGTTTACCCGCCCGGGGCAAAACCTACATCTCCCGCAAACTCACCCGCTACCTCAACTGGATCGGCACCCCGACTCGCGGTGAGTGATTTTGGGGGGTCGGGAGAGGCACCCCAAAATATTTAGGGGTGTCCCTAACCCCCCTCCACCCTCCTCCGCCATTCCGCAGTGTTCAACGTGGGGGAATACCGCAGGGAAGCCGTGCCCAACTACAAAAATTACGAATTTTTCCGCCACGATAACCCCGAGGGGGTGGAAATCCGCAGGTTAGGTTTGGGAAAAAAGGGGGGGAATTTTTTTGGGGTGCGTTTGAAGCTGTTGCACCCCCAAAAAAAATGTTCCAGGCATTGCGCTCTGGCCGCCCTCAAGGATGTCCGCGCTTACCTGAGCTCCGGGGAGGGGCAGGTGGCGGTAAGAGAACCCCCAAAAAATTAAAAAAAACCCCAAAAAATTAAAAAT